CACTATCTTTATTATGCTCATAACATTCTCTCCTTGTGTCTTTGAGATGTATATTAAAACTGTCTCCCTTGTATACTGAGTATCTGTCAGTCCTACTTGCACTCATAAGCCCTAGACAGAGGGGCAAGCACTCCTCCCTAAAAGCTAAGCAGGTTTTTCAAACATTTCTGCAAGTCTGGACATTATGCATTAATAATGCAAGAAATACCATGTGGCCATATAATTATTTCACTTTATTGTGAAATAAAGTCATAAGATGTAGGCTTCCCCATCTGGAGATTAGGACCACCTACCAGACAGACCATTTTTGCAACCAGATGTAGTGCACATATTAATTATTTTTCCTGATTTCAAAGCTTTAGATTTGGATTACCCTAAGGGCCTCTCCAGATTTCGATTAATCAGAGAAGAATAAAAAAGGGACAGTGGTCTTGGATAATTCTGGGACTACAGATCTCCTACGAAATCTATCAAGGATGACAAGCCTCCTCCCCTTTGACTCCACACTAGGAACCATCAGGTTCTTCTGCACAGAAAAAAAAAATGCATGAAGGAGGACTCAGGCTCAAGATGTCCATGCTAAGCACTAGACCAGTACTTATCTGTAAAACTGACTTCCCCCCCACCTTGGTAACAAGTATGGACATAACTGATGAAGATCTTTTGGCAGTTGATTACAGATGACCCTCCAGGATGTCACAAAAGCAAAAAGATATAGCAGCAATGAAAGACAACAGACTTGAAGACTGAGTCAAAAACTGGTTTTAAGCCTCCTGGAAGGGACAAGGAAGAAAAAGGAAGAAGAATATATACAAAAAGAATAAAAATTCTGCATATTCAGCACTTCTGCTCTGAAGGATAACATCATCTCCATTACTGTACCTCCTGCCCCCTCCAAGTTTTAGCCAAAGGTCCAATCCCAGAAGTCGTCTATGCCTTTAGGTACACCTAGTTTGTATCTAGAAAATTGGTATATGTGAAGTAATTCTCCTATATGCAACATTAGCCTTTCAGTTTATGAACATTGGGTTTGCATTTTTCTAAACAATAGAAAATTACTTTCTTGGGAACAGTTTTAAATCTACCACCACCACGAAGTGCCTTACACTCAGCATTACAAAAGTTCAACATTTAGCAACTTAAACCATGCTGTGAACAACAAAACCCACATTTCATCTACAGCATATGCAGAGAAGTTGGTAGAATCTGTAAAGTTTTAGAAGTATTATTTGTTTGCCAATTTATTCAGCTCTTTGTCATAATGCTGTATGCTACAAGTCCCTAGCTCAGGTCTGAAGTTCTAGACCTATTCTACCACCCAACAAGACCTTTTTGATGCCTCTGATGGCGAACAGGGAGGCAGTCCTTTATCTTGCCTTGGCTCCTGATTTTAAGTTGCTTTGTAAAATACCCCTCAGAAGAAGGTATCTGTAAATAAACAACTGCAAACATGAAGGAACCTGCTGTGGTACCTTTCACTGAAGCCATTATCTTTCCATAGCACAAAATAGAAACCAATACTCGGTGATGAAAGTGGAATACTCAGTAGACACAGAAAACTGGAAACGTTCCTAGTGAGGGGGGAAAACTCACAAGTATTAAGTCTAGCAAGTGAAAAAGAATGTATACCAGGTGGAAAAGACTGATATAATGAAGAGCAAAATGAAGTTCTGTAATAAATATGTAAATGAATAAATACCCACAATAAGACACCCAGAAAGAAACTCTTACAAGCAATTTACAGCTCTTACCAAGGATTCCATTTCTAACACCACTTTTTCACATAAGCTGCACAACACTAATGGCAACTACAGCAATCACAAATGCATATAGAATAAAAAGAGTCTTAGACATGTAGTCCACACTATGGAAACATTTAAAAACTCATAAGCTAGAAATGAAGAGTCAGTGTATGAAATCGGGTTTTGCTTTGGAACTATTAGCTCCGTTTAAAAAGAAAACAAACTGACAAACCAAGCCCTTAAAAGCTGGTCTTCAGAACAAAATTCTAAAAAGATTTGGCAAAGAAGCTTCAATTGTCATTCTGCATTAGGCAGCCATGCCAATAAAGTAGGTGTAGCCCTTCTCCCACACACCTTCCTAGTCCATTTGTTTCCACCAGTGAGGCCAGCACAGTTGCCCATTGCATCACACAGTGATCAAGCTGAAGAACCAACCAGTTGTGAAACAAGTAGTAAAAGCTGGGGGAGGAGAGGCTGTATTTTTCCTGGCAGATCACTTCTCTGATCCATTTCACCATGCAGCTGCACAAACAGCTGGACTAGCAAAACAAACAGGATAATATAAGGATACAAATAACCAATATCTACTCAAGACATCACTGCTGCTGAATTAATGTACTTGGACTTGCAACCTAAAAGAAAACCATTCACTTAAAAAGGTACCTACAGATTTCATTCAGTTCAATAAAAAAATTCTTAGCTAACCAGTTGAGTGAACACAGGACAGAATACAGTTGACACCACTGTCCCCTAAAATGGAAGAAAAGTCAACATTAGAACCAAAACCAACACAATGTTCACATGGAGGGGGGGAATCTTATTCCATACTTATTCTCTATACTAATCTGAAATTACCACTAGTTTTTTTCCACTAGGTCTTTTTTGTTTGTTTTTAAGCTAGGTGCCTTTTCCTTCTGTCCAGTATTCACTATTACAACACTAGTAACTTTTTGTGCAATTCCAAGCAAAGGTTAAAGGACACCAGCTTACACAGGTTTGTTTTCTAAGCAATTTATTCACCTCAGAAAGACAAGGTGGACTTCTGTTCCCTCTGCATGAACAGTCAGTGAATCGATGCTTTGAGTTCTCGCTTTTCTTGCATACTAGGCCAATACAGAAGGCCATTAATTATTGTTCTCATAATTAGTCAAGATTTGTCTTTTTTTTTTAATGCTGAAAATCACTTCACTAAACATGCATCACATCCTTCTTATGTGTTTTAGAAAGGTCAATGATAAAAGCCCTGCCTGTTTAATCTGTTTTCAAACCACCTCCAGGTGGTTTGTTGATTGTCCAGGAACAATCAATTCTCTAGAAGTCACTCATTTTTACACTCAGATCACAGTATAGTACAACTTCTGTCTATTATCTATCCTGAGACAACTACTTTTTCACAATTTATTTTACTGTAAATATTACTCATACACATACATATTTGTAGACACAGTTGGACAGCTGGCTCCATTTAACTCACTGTACTATAACTATACTAAAACAGTACAGTCATAACACTTACTCAGTATAAGCTGACATAGTGACAAAAAGAAAAAAAATTTTCATCCTCTTCCCTATGTCGCAATGCTTCCTTCCCTTACGTTGATGACAATTAGGTGAACTGGAAATTCAGTTGGGGAATTCCATTTTAAAAAATCCAGTCCCAAAATGTTGGTCTTAACCTCAATCAATTCCCTGATTTGATTCATCACACAAGAGCTTGTTTCACATAAAGGAGAGGAAGCACAAGAAATAAACCTCCCTGCACAGAAGGAGAAGATGTTTCTTTCAGCAGTAGTACTACCTTATGCCCGCTCAATATGTTCCTCAAATGACTGCCAAAGCTGTGTTACCTGCCACTGCTAAAGTAGAAAAACTCATACCTCAAGAGTTTACAAAGTCTATCATCACAGTCAAAATGAAATCAAAGATACCTGTACACTGTACACAGCATTTCATGTAGTCACTGAAAAACTATTTCACACCTTTTTTTTTCCCTAATTAATATTTTTAAGGTCCTCTCTGATTGTCTCCTTCACTTAGATCAACAGACAAAGCCACAACATTCACTTCTCAAGTTACATTTAAATAATTTCAAAATGCTTATGTGCAATACGAACAGCACCCTTTTAAAGTTTTGATAAAGATTTTTTCAAAGTTTCATTAATGCTGTTAACTAAACATTCAAGTGTGCTCAGTACACTATCTGTCAAAACTCTGCAGATAATCAAGATATATATACACATATTTTTAAAAGCTTCCCCCTAGAGAAACGTGCCTGTTGGCAAGTCAATGCCTCCCTCGCACAATTTAGTGACTGTATAGTCATGGCCTATAGCATTAAAAATGCTTCTGCTTTGTTATAGAGCACAGTACTTCTATTTTTCAAGATAAATTACTCTTCTGCAACAGACAAACTGTTGATCTGCAGACACTGGTGATCTGCAGGTTACAGTGCAGTCAAGTATTTACATTCTTAAACAGTGGGCAGCTCTAAGAGAAAGGTCCTCCAGTACTGAGATAGTCTATTACCTTTCTCCCATCCCCACTGCCAAAGCATCACCTCTTTAAAACCCGAATCAAAACCTCTATTCACCATTCAAGTAAGGAATTTAAGCATCATCTACTAGGAGCTATACTGACAAAGAAACACAGATAAATAGAAGCAGATATAAGAATTAATCAATTTCTAATCCCATAAATGAAACTCTATTAACTTTTAAAAATAACTGCAAATAAATCAAATCACTAATGTGCGGCAACTTAGATGTAGCCTCACCCCTCCTCCTTTTTTCAAGGGTGTATTTTGAGTAATTTTAGGGATCTATACTGTTCAGCCCGTTCTAGCAACAAAAATGAGTCAGGGACGTGGGTCAGGTAATCTCCAGGTTAGCTTTTGTTCTTTCCACACACATTTCACACTTACTCTGGCTCACACTCTTCATATACTCCTGTTCACAATGTCACTCTGCCCACACATCTCTTCTCAAATAATCTCTGCTTAATTCTGCACAACACCACTGCATCATACCTTCCCTTTACTCCAGCAGACTTAAAGTGTACTCATTGCTCTAGTTTTGATCTCCAGTTTGATCTGTTACAAAGCTCACACTCCAATAGCAGGAACCAATACACCAGTTAAGTGATGTTCCACTTAAGTTTATGAGAGAGCTTTTACTGTTGTTGGAATTTTTTTCATTTTTAACTGGTAAGAGAGAAAACAGTAAACGTTTGAGAAATAGCAATTGAACAAGCTTCACTTACCTTGAAAATACCAACCCAGTCTTTCTGATGAGGATGGATAAACTGGGTCAGAGTGTAGTGACATTCAAGGTGTGTGTTCGGAAGATAACTTTTTGCCACATTTTGAAAAATCACATGTGCAAAATTGGAAGTCTGCAAAGTGTTAGCTGAAGATGGAACCTCTTGAAAGGATGACATGATTGATCTGTAACAAAATTGTAGAAGTTGCTACTTCAATATAGTGGAAAAATGAGTTAGGTTAAAAAAAATAATCTATTTGAAATATACAAGACAGAGAAACCCAACAATTAGTTCCTCTGTTCCGAAAACAGATAGCTATAGACCAAGTCCACCAAAGTGCACTGCCTCAGCATCACTCCAAAACAATCACCTCTCAGAATAAAAGGGCAGTCATTTCAGCGATGACATCAAGATGGAGAGAAAGCATTGCTTCACTGAATGCCCCCAGTATTATATCTCAGATACAGTGGCAGAAAGTGGGAAATAAGAGCGGTGGTGTGAAAACAAAGCAGGGTTCTAACTCAATAAAATATTCTTAATGGTTCTGGATGTAGCAGGGGAGGAGAAACAAAGCTCCGTAGTTTCCCCACTTTAAACTTTTCTCAGAATCTGTACTGCTCAGTGCTTTTCACAGTGTTTTTGTATGTGAAGTTTTTCTTCCCCTCTCAATAAAAGTAACAAAGTTCCATTTTAAAACATTTTTAAAAAATAGGAAAGTTTATCTGAACAGGAGGGATTTGTTTGGGGGTGTCAGGTTTTTTTTTCTTCTTCAAAAGAGTTCTCTTGCCTCTGTTCAGCAGTCTGTGGGCATCTTTTACTGTTCTCACTGTAACACATATGCTCCCAGCCCTGCATGTTTAGCTTCATTACCATAAACAATGGACTTCATTGATAGGTGAACATTTAGGTATGCGTGCACTTTGATGGATTAAAAGGTTTTGCAGTCCAACTGGTTAGTGTTAATCACGCTTCCCTTTCACCACCTCATTCAGGATACATAGCGCTAAAAATTACAGCAACGCAAGATGCTTCACAGGCAGAACAAATCCCTTCCTCAGATTCGGCAATATCTGCCAAAAATATAAGATGGGCACCTGAGAAGTTTCAAGTGTTTGATTTCAATGTACAATCACAAGTTTGTCAAAACATTTGATCTTAGGAGGACTGGGGCCTTATACATCTAACACATTTCTAGAAAGATGAGCCATCCTAGTCTTACAATTGCTATTAAAAGGAATTTTACGTTGACCAAGCAAATTCACACCCTCAATGAGGTAACTGCCAAGCACGTGACATAATAGATTACTTTCATGGAAGATACATGTGGAAACCAATCCCAAAAAGGGATGGGCCACTGCAAGTCTCAAGAAGTTCAAAGATTAAAGGCTGTCTGTTCATTTCCTATAGCCTTTTAAAACTTCTTTTCACCAGTTAAAAAATAAGTAGCAAAGAGCTCATGTTTTCTGAAATAAAATGCACTCTGAAGTAAACAGGTATTCATCGTTCAAAACAAGGAAAAGGTAAACAGGGATTATTTAGGTTTAAACCCTCAACATTTTAAGCTTATTACTGCCCACTTTAGTGTAACACATGAAGTACATACAGGGAGCCATGACATTATTCTGATGTATCAGATGTTAAATAAAAAGCAGTTTTGTACCCTGAACAACACACGTAATAAGATAAAATGCCAAGCTTGTGAAGATTAACAGATAGAAAGGACAAAACCAAGAACTTACACAAGCAAGAAATTGAGTAAAGATCAGAAGACAGCTTTTCAGAGACAAGAGGGTACACATAAATCCTATCTGTTATCTAGCTTCAGAGTCCAGAAGAGCATAGGAAATTTTACAGCACAGTAAAACCCTGAAAACTCCCACACCTCTCAAAACAGAGGAATACATTTAAGATCTCTCTCAAATCCACTCTGAACTGTAAGTGGCATGAAGCAGCAGTTTCTACAATTCTAAAATAAATAGAATAGCCTTAATTTTTTAAGTGCAACAAATTCATTCATTTTTAGTAATTCAGTAGTACCTGAAGCCAAATAATATTGACATGAAACAGACTGTTTCAGTTCTCATTACCCATGATAAGTACAAAAAGAGTAAACAAAGCATTAATAACAAACACAACTGAATTTAACTTTTTTTAAAATAGGTCTATTTTAAAAATTGGATAGTTTATGCTAAGCATATATTACCAAAAAAAAAAAAACAAGCCCACACCAAAAAAACCCCAAACATTCATTTCTGTGTACTGGTTGCCAGCTACCACAGCTGAGTACTAGCCTTAGTGAAACCAGTACAGAGAGGCTGGTTTCCAAACCCAAAGCAGAACTATTCACAAATCTGAACTTGCGCAGACCAGCAGAATCATCTGGGATTACTGCTTCCCAGCAGGAAAATCCCCGGAGCTTAGGCGAAGCTGAGATCTACTTACAGTTCAAGGATAGTTTAGGGGATGCTGGGTGCTTGCTCGCTTAGCTCACAGCTACCGGCTGGGAAAGAGGGGAGGTGGAAGAGCTACGCTCAGGCTTCATTACTAACATGACAAGCGATCCCCTCGGGGAGGCTCAACGACGCGTTTGGGTTTTACGCACCGAAAAGAACGGAAGGAGGAAAAGCTCGTCAGGCAGGAAAGACAAAAGCAGGA